GGATGTGAAGACAGTGCGGGTGCCCGTGGGCTCAGGGGGCGGGGGACGTCGACCACCCGGCGTCGTGTTGGCCGAAGACGACGACCCAGTGCCGTGCAGTGACCGGCGGTTTTGACGCGGTGTCGACTCGGGCGTCTCGGCCACGTAGAGGTAGATGCCTTGCCGCGGCTCCATTGAAAATCCACAAGTGACGTGCCAAATGATGGGCGGGTGTCTGCGTCAACGTTGGGGACGTGGAACGGTGACTAACGTGAGTCAACTCGCATGGCTTCCCACCATATGAAGAAGGCCTCTCGAATTCACTTAATGAGTGCGAATGGAAGTGACAGCCGTGTTGAGTCAACGCACATTTGCCCTGCGCGTGAGGACTCGTCGTCTCATGTAAGCGAATAGAGCGTGCATATGTCCTGATCCTGGGTGTCCGCCGACGAGCGATGCAAGCTCCAGATCAGGTCGCATCAGCGATCCGTTCCGCAAAATGTGACGGAAGACCACTTTGAATCTGGCCCCTCTCAGCTACGGCAACTATCGATCAGCTCAAATGTCCTAGGCCAGACAATGTTTCGTCCAGGCAGCGAGATACAAACCAACACGACAGTGTGAGCATGGAATGTGTGGAAATCCAGTGCACTGGAGCTGGTGTCGTCAACTGCACTTCAAAGATATCCTTGTAGAACGATTAGATTCCGTGTACATAGTTTTATGTGTGTGGATAGAAGAAGCACGGTAGCCATAGATGATGATGCCGAGCCCAGCTCCATGCGGCAGACGATGCCACGTATTGTATTGAGGCGCAATCTGGCGCGCGATCTTTAGCGGTACTAGTATGGCGAGGCCTCAATCACTGGGACTCAATTCTCTGTCGTGTTGACTCCAGGAGCCACTGTAACGATCGAGTGCTCTGGTTCGGATTGCTCCGCCGTCGCACGTCGAGAACGTAGCGGGGGCTTGAGAGGTCGCCAACGCGGTCGGTGTCAGTAGTGAACTGTAGCAGAATAGTGTACAAGGTATCGAATGGCTTTGGTTGATGGGATATGCTCGAAAGATTGCGGTGACCCCATGTGCCCATTGCCACCCTGCCGAAAGAAGACCATTATTGCACGTGATCTGCTGGATTTGAAATGCTGCGAGTGGCGTGAGCGGACTCATGTTCCGTGGTAACGGCAGACACACTTTCTGGAATGGGATGTCTCGCGAAGTCGGTCGAACTCTCAGTGGTGGTCGGACTCTCAGCGTCTGCAGTGCAAACATCATCGCTACGAAGGGTCGCATTTGTCTATCTATATTTATTTACCTTTGTCAAGACAAGTACAGTAGATGAGTTCGACAAGATTACCATGGGCGAAATAAGCTCTTACCGGTAGCATAGTCTGGACCCATCAAGCTCGGTATGATCAGCGTCGCCCGAGGAATCCTCGTAATAGATCTGGTACCTTCGTGCCTCTCTCCACAGGTCAAGTCGGCCCGAGGTTTGCGCCAAACGTGCCGACCTACTACGACGTTGGATTGCGTCAAGCTTTCCAGTGCCTTAATCAAAAGGGCTCACTGCAAATTTGCTGGAGAGCCGAGCATAGCTCAGTTGGTAGAGCGTTTGACTGTAGTTAAGTATTCGTGCCGGTCTACGAATTCGGAAATTTGCTGAAGAGCCGACTACCGGTATTGGTTCAAGGCGAGAAAAGACAAAAAGTCTAGCTTCGCAATTCATCCGAAGCAAGCAGTTTTGCATGTTGAATCCAAAAGACACGATGCTCCCTCTTTTCCAAAGGGCAACAGCCAGCTCTACAGAGCGACCTACAGTTGTCGCTGCTGCTGCTTTTTACTCGTATAGAGGGTCTACTGACGTGAGGATCACTGAACGGCTAGGGTACCTTCATGTGCATTCGCGGGTATGCATCATACTAGTAGAGCAGAACTCTTTTACTGTGCGCAATTTCGTTCTCTGAACGCCCACAGCCAACGAGTGATAAGCGAGACGAGCCCTCCACGCTGCCCCCGAAGCTGCCCGCAGAGAGAATAGAGAAGGAGATTCCAGTCTTTGAAATCATGAAGATACCAGGAAACGCATTCATGTATACAACTAAACGCTGTACGATAGCGAGGGTACTGAGGTGAAGGGCCTCATCGCCCAAGTCCACGCAGTCGCGAGTGTGATTGCGTGACTGCACCAGCTCGACATTCTACTTTAAGACTTTAAGACCATTTTGGATGACACGTGTAGCAATCGGTTGGACGTCGATGTCAGTGTTAGAGGCATTTTTTGGATTGGAGGATTGCGTCTTCGCGAGGACGCAAATATGAATGAGCTCGTCGCACTGTGGTGCCATCTCTTGACGCGTCGCTGGCCGCTCTCCGCGACGACCCTTGGTGTGCACGCTACCTGGCCCCTCGCACAATCTCGAATCAAGACCACTAACGCTCCTCGCTGACGCACCGGCCGCGCCTCACGAGCGCATTAGGAAGTCCACCATATCTCTACAATTGCATATATACCTAACTCATTTCAACAACAACGCAAATATGATTGTGATAGCTCCTCCGAGCAGCGACGGTCACTCGAACGCAGGCTCGTTTTCCGGTCACGCGACAGTCACACCTCCACATGGCGACCAGCTGGGGTCATGTCGATTCCAGAGCCCCGTCTGGTATTACAACCAGGTGATCGCGGCCATTTCTGCGCGCAAATTGCTGACGGAGTTGGCAAGTCGTCGAGGCGACGTTGGATGACGCGGCTTCCGCATCAAACGAGGTATCGGCTCGCAGCCACACTCACATCAGAGACGGGCGCCTCGATGCCCCGCCCCTTGTCGAATGTAGCGTCGGGTTGGACGCTTTGTAGCTACATGTAGATGACGCAGATGCCACGGCATTCAAAGCAAGGGAAAGCGCGCAGCTCGCAGGCTGGAGGGGGCGCTGTCTCGATGACACCGCCGATCGTGCCTCTGGCTAGATGACAATTGCACTCCATTACGTATGAATTGTATCGTAGAGCCAAGTGTGCCAGCAACAAATTCATCGTTTCGAAGAGCACGCGTGTAGAGACGGAGGCGTCGTTGAAGTGCACTCGACCTTGCGCAAAGGCGCCGGTCCGGCGCATTACAAGGGTGTGTCACGAGTACAACGCGTCTTCGATTGGCTGAAACGCAATAGCTTTAAACATGTGAGCCAATCCATGGCGAGAAGGACGGCAGATGGCTAGTCGTGATTGGTGTTTGCCAAACGAGCCGCGTCTCTCCCTTGCTCCTTGGCTCCTCTCGGCCATACGTTCCAGCTGCGGGGCGCTACGCAGTGTCCGTGATACGCCGCCACATACGTAATATAAGACGTCGGAGGCTGTCGCATGGAGGCTCGGTGCCGTCCAGAAGTACCGTCTCTCAATGATCGACTTTGCCCTTTTCCTGTACACGTTCGATCGGCAACTGACTTGCTTCGGGTTAAAGGAAAGCCAAGCGTCACGGACATCCTGCTATTTTTCTCTTGGAGTTTGTATGCCACAGGTACAGTTTGTCGCCATGTCCCAATGCATATCATACAAAGCAAAGCACCTGGGTGAACCGGGTATCCGCGCTTCCATCCGCACGCCAATGTCCCATGCTGGCCGACCAAGCATTGTTTCCGCAGTGGTATTCTTTAACCTTCCAGCTTGTGCGCAGGACCGTCAGGATGGACACGACTCCGAAAAGTGGCATCCTGCTCTTCTCCAACGACCAGTTGCCGGCGCGTCGGCGGTCGTTCAACTCGGCGCCGTCGTCGGACGGCCAGCCGCGCCGAAAACTGCCGCCGCCGCCCGAGCCCGTCGGTGTCCGGACCAACTTTACATCCGGCAAGCCCATGCACGAGTCGCTTCCCGTGACCAACTACGAGTACCACGAGGACCCGATCCTCGAGGAAGACAAGGAAATCCCGATGCAAGGCGACTTTGACTCTCGGACATCCAACACGTACGTCAACTCGATCTACGTGCTTATCGGTGCGGCGATCGGCGCCGGCGTTGGCCTCGCGCTCACGAACGCCGACCTCAACGAGGACGGCCGCAAGTGGATCGCGCTGCCCGGTGACCTCTTTGTGCGCGCGCTTCGCTGTCTTGTGGTGCCCATGGTGTTTGCGTCCATGGCGGTCGTCATTGCCGAAGTCGTCGTCTTGAAGAAGACGTCGATTCTGTCGTGGCGCACGGGTGCCATCTTCTTCCTCACGTCGTTCCTCGCTACGATCCAAGGCGTCGCGATCGCGCTCGTCTACCGCAGTACGTTCAGCTCGCGCACGGCGGCCGGCAAGTCGGCGCTGCCGCAGCCCGAGCTCGCGTTCAAGTGCCAGAACGGCTTGTACCTCAACATGTTTGACAACGGGTCGCTCGCGTGCTCGGAGCTCCAGCAGATCAACTCGACGCTGTTTACGACCGTCGATGTCAACAATATGCTGACGGTCAAGAGCACGATCGCGCAGCTCACGCTCACGCAGCAGATCATTGCCATCATCAACCTCATGGTGCCCGACAACATTTTCGACTCGCTCGCCGAAGGTCAGCTCCTCTCGGTCATCATGTTTGCCTTGCCGCTCGGGTATGCGATCGCCAAGTCGCACAACGGAGCTCCGGCTGACAACAGTCTCCTCAACATCATTCGCCAGACGCGCAATTCCATCTTGATTTTGATCAACGCCGTCTTGAACATCACGCCGATCGCAGTCGGGTTCCTCATTTGCAACGCCGTCATCTCGTACCAAGCGAGCGCCAACGACGTCTTCTCGCAGGCCGGCTACATTGTGCTCATGTTCCTCGCCGGTGTCTTTAGCCACGTCATGGTTGTCATGCCGCTTGTGCTCTTCATCTTTACGCGCTGCAACCCGTACAACTACATGCGCCAGCTCTTCCCTGCCTACGTCTTTGCCTTTGGTTGCTCGTCGTCGATGGCCGCGCTGCCCGTCGGTGTCACGGTCATCCACCAGACGCGCCAAGTGTCGCGGTCGCTCGCGCAGCTCATCATGTGTCTTGGCACGCCGGTGAACCTCAACACGTGCGGCCTCTACTACCCGCTCATGACCATGTTTATGGCCAACTACGCCGGCCTCACAGACGACATTGGCGCGCCGCAAATGGCTGTCCTCTTCTTTGTGAGTCTCCTCGGCTGCATGGGTACGGCGCCGATCCCGCAGGCCGGTCTGGCCATGTTGATGACTGTCTGGCGCACGGTGCTGCCGAGCGAAACGATCCCCCACGCATTCGTGTACGTCGTCGCTATTGACTTTATCATCGATCGCATCAACACGGTGGTCAACATCAACGGCAACATGATCGTCACGCGCATTCTCGCCGACCAGTTTGACGAGACGGTCGAGACGTGGGCCCACGACCAAATGCTGTAAATGCATAACCCACGCCTCCTGTACATTATAGAGCGTATTGCCATGAAAGCACGTTTGCTTTCTAGACCTAACCCCACCATATAAACACGTTTTTGATCGAAATGCGAGGTTTGTCGACACAGTCACAGTCGTAGCGTCGACGGCACTGCCGTGGCAGAGACATGGGTCGTTGGCGGCTTGCGCTCCATGGACCTGCCTCAGACGCCTCATCCGATGCAACAAGGTCACTTGGATGTCAACCAAGACAACATGTCCAGCCTGCTCATAATGTGGTGTCCGGGACCCTTGTGCAAAATGGACATGGCTCCACGAGACGGCGAAATTCGAAATGACATTGTTGTGGTCGCGGTTGGTGCGCGTGGTTGGGGCGGCAGAAGTGGTAGGCTCAAGAAAAGCTCAACTAGGTGACGGCTTCGTATCCCCGGTAGAAGTTGGCGACGTTTCGATGATGATGGTGATGGTTCGTCGGCCTAACGGACTCATAAAAGAGAGATATGTGTGCTATAAACGAATCCAACGAAGTTACTTACGCTCGGCTGCGAGCTTCGTGGCGCTTACAGTGGCATGATAGTGGCAACGGTAAGCGACTCTACCACATACGGCCAAATGTGTAACTGGTATGTGTATTTCTGAGCACGACTCGTCTCCCGGCGTGAGCGTGAGGAGTCGAGGTGCTTGCACGCACTTTGCAGGAGCCACCATTATCTGTGGTGAAGCCAACGCCTCGATCCGCAAGAGCTGGGATTGCGAAGCGGAAAGCTCGTTGCTCTAGAATGTGCGGTTGATATGCGTCCGGGGTAAAGGCTTGTGGGTTGCGTGGCAATCCGCAGACGAACGTACCACGCTGCATGTCCCAGACACCCAGAACGAAGCGGACGAAAATCACAGGATTCGTGCTCTCTCTACTGGGCCGACGCCGCGGCGGCGACACTGTCTATATTGCGAGAGCTCTCGCGAGCCATGTAGGGGATGCTGCATGCATCGAGTGCTGACCACCAGTGTTGCGTCCTCCTTCATTATTCGAATATGGCGCAATACCAAAGCAGATTGGATATGCGCACCCAGGTACATGGTCATTAGCGATGGGTACATGACTGGGTACATGAAGCTTCGACATATCTTCTTCGCGGACACGGCACCTTTTACGCACCGGAGCTACTGCGCCGGTCGGCGTGCCCCGTGGTGGGCTACGCGAAAAGGCGGCGTCCGAAAGCTTCTATTCACCGACGAGGGTTTCAGTGGCGTCGCTTCCAGATTATCGAACAAGAGCTTGTCGCAAGGGAATGAATCGGAAACAAATCGCCAGATTCCAGCTGGTCGCGCCAGATCTATTGCCCTTGGTTGCAGCGTCACCAGCTGCCCAAACACTCGGCCCGATTGCTCCAACCGCGTCGTTCAACCTTCGTACAAGTGGCACGGTAAGCGCGACCGGCTCGCACTCGTCAACCTTCCGTCTTTTGCGCACCTTTTTCTTCTTCAACTTACACAAGAACGATGGACCAGCAGCCGAAAGGTATCCTCCTCTTCACCAACGACCAGCTCCAGGGGTCTCGGGCGCCGTCGTACCACTCGGCGCCCTCGTCCGACGGCCAGCGCGCCCGCCGCATTGCGCCGCCCGCCGAGCCGCTCGGTGTCCGCACCAACTTCACCTCTGGCAAGGCGCTCACCGACTCGATCCCAATGACGTCGTACGAAAACTACGACGACCCGATCATGGAA